TCTCTTTCTCTCCCCTCTCCCCCCTTTCTCAAAATAAATAAATAAATTTTAATTTTGCCAGAAGCTATAAATAAGTAATAATTAAGATGTACCTGGCCTTATACAGCAGCTAAGTTCCTGGCAGGATGCACAAAGATTGAATTTTTGTTAAATTGTTTTTATCCACTAGAACAGATAACAAAAGAATTCGTTCATCAGTATGTTTCAGACAGCCCAACTCTCATACATATGAGACTTGTGTACGTAAAGTGAAATGAACCTCTGAAATCTATACAGTTACCCTTCCGCCAGGTTAGAGTAAAATACTGCCAGGTACCCTCTTGAATAACTAACTTCATTCCTCAAACAGTATTCCCGTTTACAAGCTGATCTGCCTCTTCCCTCCTGCTCCATGGCTCAGGGCTCTCTGTCTCTACACCATTTCCAGGGTAGTGCTGACTCCTCTTCCACCCACATAAAGGTCTGGGTCCCGTCCTTGAAAGGACCGACCCTTCCTCTCTGTCCATGTGAGCCCAAGGATCACAACGTAAGTACCACAGACTCCCTTGCATTCGCTACAGTCCACTTCAGGCAGTAATGCTCCAAAAGCTTAGTGGCTGTAACTCAACAGGGTTCGGCTTTGGAATCTGCAGCTTAGAGGTACAGCTACATTTCATAAGCAGCCTTGGGAAATTAACCCCAGGAAATAACTTCCGCCTGTAAAAAAGGGTTAATCTTTTTCTTTTAAAACAAAAAGATTTTTTTAATTTATTTACTTTTACAGAGAGGGGAAGAGAGGGAGAGAAATATCAATGTGTGAGAGATACATGGATTAGTTGCCACTTGAACGCCCCCAACTAGGGACCTGGCCGGCAACCCAGGCATGTGCCTGACCAGAAATCAAACTGGCAACCTTTCGGTTCCCAGGCCAGCACTCAATCCACTGAGCCACACTAGCCAGGGCAAAAAAAGGGGTTAATCTTTTGACACTCAAAAGATTGGGGAATTTCACGAAGGTACTCTTACCCCTGAATTTCATTCTTTTCTATCCCTTAATTATTTGTAAGAAAGGTAAATTTCAACCTCAACTTAGCAGGCATCAAGCACATACCATTTACCCCAAAGCGTTAGGTATTAAGAACGAATACCAAGAATCCTGGTCCGTGAGGCTCAGCTGGTTGGGCATCATCCTGTAAACCAAAAGGTTGTCAGGTGGATTCCCAGTCAGTACACATGCCTGGGCTTCCGGTTCAGTCCCCGGCTGGGGCGTGTGCAAAAGGCAACCGATCAACGTTTCTCTCTCATATCATTGTTTCTCTCCCCACTTTCTCCCTCCCTTCCCTTCTCTCTAGAATCAATTTTTTTCAAAAAGAATAAATACAAAGAAAGTATCGTTCCCATCTTATAGAAGCTTACGGTCTCACTAAGGGAACAAGAATAACAACACAATTAAGGGACAATACATGTGATGCATAATGAAGCATCAGTGTAAAGCAGCCAAGGGAAGGCTGTGGCTACTGTGAGCTAAATTGTCAGGAGGCTTCCCAGAAGGAGCTATGACCTCAGAAAAACTCTATTTGTGTTAAGCTGCAAGGAAAAAAAAAACACACTTGCTTTAAGACAAACTCATATGTAGAGAAGGCCATGTTGCAATGCAAGCAGAGACCGGCGTGACACGGTCACCAGCCAAGGAGCCAAGGGCTGCGGGCGGCCTGCAGGCGCTGGAAGCGGCAACAAATGGACCCTCCCCCGGGGTCCCCAGGAGCAACCAGTCTGCTGACATTAACTTGAGATCCATGACACTGATTTGGGGCTTTTTTTTTTTAATGATTAGGAAATGATGAATTTTTTTTCAGTATTTTACTTATTTATTTTTAGAGAAAAGAGAAGGGAAGGGAAAAGAGAAAGAGAGGGAGAGAAGCATCAATGTGTGGTTGTCTCTCCCACACCCCTTACTGAGGACCTGGCCCACAACCCAGGCATGGGCTCTGACTGGGAATCAAACCAGCGACCCTTTGGTTCGCAGGCCAGTGCTCAATGACTGAGCCACACCAGCCGGGGCTGATTTTGGACTTCTGATCTCCAGATTTCTAAGGTAATAAATTTTTGTTTCCCTAAAAAATAAATAAATAAGTAAAAATAAAATAAGCCCATACACCAAAAAGCTCAGCTACACTAAGATTTTTAATGTGTACACTTACAAATAGCCTATAGACATTTCCACACCACTAATACCCTCTCCTGAGGTTCCAAACCTCTGCTCTTTCTGCTCCAGCTACAAGGGGTCTCTACCCCACAACATTAAAGAGGCAGCTGGTGCCCTAGCTTCAGAAGCTGCAACTGCCTCAGTACCCACAGCTCCTCTCTTGAGCCCTCTTCCCTGGAATATCTGAAAGACCCATTCCCTCACTCCATTCAAAGGTCACCCATCAGAGAAGCCTTCCCTGACCACTACCATATCTCCTAGGCTCTAAAACAGGGCCTGGCACATTGCAGTTGTGCAATAAGCACTAGTTAAATGAATATTAAATATTCTATAATTATTCTCAGAATGATACAAGAACATCCTAGAAGTGAAGGTCACGTAGGCTTAAATTTTATCTTTTCATGAATATTATTTCTCTTTTACTCCCAATTACACCTCAAATTTCAACTCCCCATAAAGCCTTCCTTGACCATTCCAGCGGGAATAATCATCTCCATCTTCTGGAACCAGAGGCACAAATAACCAGCATACTTTGTCTCTAAATTACGCAATGCCTTTGATACGCAACTACTCTGCTGTAACTCTATTCCTATTCCTCTGAACTTACATTTATATATAAATCATTTATACATAAACTTTTTAAAACTTTCACCCATGTTGCCTCCCCCCCGAAATTGTAAGCACCAAGTACCTTACAATCAGAGAACTTGACGTATTTTTTAGGAGGTAACTCAGAAATCATCTTGTATAAACACTTTATCTTACAACTAAGGAAATAGAAGCCCCAAAAGAAGGGGTTTTCCCCACAACCACACAGCCAGTCAGGGGAGTAAATCACCAATGATACGAACACCTGTGACAAGGTGTGTTGGAGCTACAACAATGAAACTACATATAGTGAAAAATAAACATACACAAATGCACAGAATGAAAAAAGCATTCTCTGTAGGATACTTCTAAGTTTGCAATTTTTACCCAAAGGACCTAATCCACTCCTTCCTCTGAATACCCCAAAGTCCCTATGCACTGCTCTGCTTCCAAATACTACTCTCCTTAGCCAATTGGAAGGCAACCAGCAAATAATGGGCCCCAGGAGTAAAGGGCGGAGTCTGTTAACTATGATTGACAGAGACAACAAATGAATACAGACATACACAGGTATATGCACACACCAAGCAGAACATGCTCACCAGCACCAACATGCAGTCTTTCCTCCTTACCATCCAATATTAACCCATCTCACCTAAAGTCCCCCTAGATTCTTCCATATTTTTTCCATGGCCCCAAGTTCTTACTTCTCACAATCCCTCTGCCTAACAGAGTTCTAATGGAGAACAAAATCAGGCACACAAAAGAATTCAAAAATAAACACAAAGAGGATCACTTTACCCAAATCAACAGAAGTACCCAAGTGGCCCCGGCCAAGGAGACCGAGATGCACACAGCAAATATGCCAGGCTGAACCACAGCTGCATGGCTCACACAGGAAGTCAGGCAGAGCCTTGGAAAGCAGGAGCAGAGCACAGGAAGTCTTTCAGCACTGCAGAGATTTCCAAGAGTGGTGTAATGGAGAGAGCACAGCAATAGGAATTCGAAGACTGGGCTTTCAGTTCTAGTTTTACTACCAACTACTTGGCCAGCCTTAGGCGAGGTACCAGACTTCTTTGGGCTTTTGAGTCATCTATAAAATGAGGCGGTTAAAACATTTAGGGACTTGAGTCCACTCCAAAAAGAAAAATAAATAACTATCGACTCTTTCCCACCAAAAAAGTGCAGGTAAACTACTATTCTGCCTAACACTCTTCTGAGTCTATCCAGGTTAAGAACTCCTGGAAAATGTCTCATCCCTTCTAATATTCTATGATTCTAAGAGAATTAGACAGATGTCTAAACAATTGCTAGTAAGTGAACCCCTCACCACTCCACAGCGACGATTAACTGAACAGAGACCAAATCCTAAAACCTACAAAGACTTCACCTTCTTCCTCAAATTACAAAGGCAACTGACATCATAACTACAATTCCCCATTCCCTACTCAGAATCCAGTCTTCTAACAGCCCTGTAAATTTTCTTTTATATCCGAGAACATTAAAGAGCCAGTCGATGCTTTAGCTATGTAAGATGCAACTGACAAAGTGCAGGAGGGACATGTCCTGGTCTCCCTTCAGACCCACTCGCTAGCTCCACAAAGTTAATGCATCACGACTGAGCACCACGCTGTCCCCACAACACTACCAAACTCCTTGTACTTCTCACACTCCTTGTGTATGTAACTGAGTTAACCCACAAACTAAGCCACATCCCCTTTGGGCTCTCGAGGAGTTTTCTCGCTTTTCATTCCTCTCCTTTATATGCCACACCCCTTCCACACCCCAGTGTGTGTCGAGGGCTGCCAAAAAGGTACTCCTTCGTAGGGGGGTTCCCACCACTGTCCCCTCGTCCTCGACTCAGTCCAGTGGCTCTCTTGGGCAGGATCTCCTGGCTTCCACTCCACCTCAAGGAACTATGGAAGGGTTTGAAGAAATGGAACCCATCTCAACCATGTTCGATTTCCCCAAAAAACCTATCCACGCGTCGTGTCTCCTCATTCCCTCCGAAATCGGGATCCTCGTGGGCACACTAGGGTCCTCCTGCACCCTTCGCCTCCCAGCCGGAGCTCGCGCTACCTTTCAACCAGGCCCCGAACGGCCCCCTCCCACTTCCAAGCCAGGATCCCTGGAGTCCACCCCTCTCCAAGCCCCGGGAGCCCCAGGCCGCCCTCCCGGCCCCGCGCCGCACCCCTGCCGTAACGGGGCACCCGTCCCGCGCGGTCACCTGCATCCCGCCGCCGTCGTCGGCGGCGGCCTCCGCCTCCTCGGTGCGCGGCCGCTTGCTCAGGCCGGGCTCGGCTCCGTCTCCACCGCCTCCGGGCACCGGCAGCTCCAGCTCCGACTCCCGCTTCATCCCCCGGGCAGCGGCGCCGGGCCCGAGCTGAAGCGGCTGCTGCGGCTGGGCGCCTTCGGCCATCCGCCCGCGCCCCCCTCGCCTCCGGGAGCCGGGCGACCCGCGACAGGCCACCTCCCCCTGGGCCTCGGCCCCGACAGTCGCGACAGGCGGGCGCGCGCCTGCCCCCGCCCCCGCCCCCGCGTGCGTGCGTGCGTGCGCGCGCGCGGGCCCAGTGCCCCTCGGCGACTGACGGTCGTCGGTCCCCAGGTCCTCGGCTCGAGACGGCCGGCGGGTCGCGACGCGCAGTCGTTCGCACCGCCACGCGCACACGCAACCCCAGCCTGGCCGCCGCGGGCCCCGCCTCTCGCACAGACGGAGCTTGCCCGCCGGCTCGCGCCCTCTCCCTCACACTGTCCCTCACAACACGCCGGGCCAAGGGAGGAAGGGGGCGGTCCGGCTCCCGAAGCGTGGGGAGGGGTGTTTATTTGGGGGGAGGAGGGGCTCGAAGCAGGAACGAGCTGACTGGCCGGGATCCTCCGACCCGCCACAGTGGCAGCACCGGGAAGGCGGGGAGAAAGAAGGAGGGAGGGAACGGGATCTGGGACTCCAGCCCGCGCGGGAGGCTGTGGCTGGGGGTGGGGCGGAGAGAGCGGAGCGGTGGTAGCTACCGAGCCAGTGGGGCGGGGCCAGAGCCCCTCGGCAATCTCCGTCTCCTCCGTTTCGGGAGCCCGAGGGAAGCCGGGAAGAGATCGGGAAAGCTCGGGAGTCTCCGGTAGTGGGGAGGGATTGTGGTGGAGGACCTGCGCTGCTGGTATTCCAGCCAACGCGGAGGGGGCGGTGTCTTCTCCTATAAGGGCAGGGCCACAGCCTAGGACAGGCGGAGCTTGAGAGGCCCAAGGACGTGGTTGGTTTCTAGAGAGGAAAGGGCACTGTGTGGGAGGGGTCGTCGTTACTCCCTCTTTTGCTCCCGGTCCCGCAAAAGAATGGGAATATACAGTTGGAAGATCCAGGAATGAAATCACCACTCCACGGCTCTCTCCCATTCTGAAAAACTTTTACTCTGATCATCATAATTATTTTTATCACATTTCTGATCATATTAATAATACTTGATGTTTGTAAAAGCTTCACGGTTTGCACAATGCATTCACAGATCCGTTTTGAAACGGGTGGTATAGGCAGAGCGCATATCAGGAACTACTTAACACTAATGATGAGCGTGAAGCTTGTTCAAGTCCTGCAAAAAGAAGCAAATCCAGATCTCGGGACACTAAATCATATTCTATGTATGTACACCTTGCTGTAGTGTAACACTTTATTATCGACTTCGTACAGTTAGAGATATTTCTGCAAAACCTTCTTTCTCTTAACAGATTGTAAGGACCAAGAGGGCATCTGTTTTTCTCTGGCTTCCATATTGTGCCCTGTACATTATAGGGGATACAATGATGTTGCATGAAAGACCTGAATTCTACTTGAACAAGTTACTTCATCTCTTTGGACGTTTGAGTCATCATTTGTAAAATGAAGAAGTGGTTTACATCAGTGGTTTGCAACCAAGGGCGATTTTTGCCCCTTCCCCTCTCCCCCAGGACATTTGTCAACATCTGGAGACATATTTGGTTGTTACAACAGGGCATCTAGTGGATAGAGGCCAGGTATATTGTTCATCATCCTGTGATGAACAGGGCAGTCCTCACAACAGTTGTCCAGCCAAAAATGTCAATAGTGCTGAGGTTGAGAAACCCTGAATTAGATGATTTCTAAAATCATTTTCAGATGGGCCTATTATTTGACCTTTGAACTTGGGTTTAACCTAGCTAGGGCTGGAACAGTACAACAGTAAAGATCCTTGCTTTAGAGTCAGACCAATCCGGGTTTGAACCCAGGCTTTAACAACTGTTGCCCATGTGATGTTGAACCAGTGAATACTTAAGAATTTCTGTATAGAAGGAGTTTAGGGCCTGTAGACCAATTGAAAGAGAGGGCAGAAGGATTTGTCTTCAAGCCTGGTCTTAATAGCAAGCACATTTTTTTTAACCTGGGCTGCATCATAAATCAATAAAAATAGCCGAGTTTTAGCTCTGCCACTTACAAGTCATGATATCTTGTGAAAAGTGCTTAGCCTGCCTATGCCTGTTTCTTCATCTGATAAGTAGGATGATATTATCTTTCTGAAAGGATTATTGTGAGGATTTAACAAGTTACCACACATTAAGGTCTCAAACAGATTGGCCTATTGTAACCACTCGATAAAAGTTACTTATTGTTATTATTACCATTATCATTTTATTCACATTTTAAATAAGAGTGAGAAAAGTGTTCATGGTCGAGATAAAAGAATATCATTATCACTACTGTTGAATTTTTTTTTAAATTATATAAGGTCACTTGGGTGGGGCCACTGGAGAGTATGATGGCCAGAGTTCCCCAAGTCACCGTTTGGGGCAGCCACTGTGTTGAGCCAGTCCTTTATTTTCACTAAGCCTCACATCCTTTGCTGGTAATGTGACAATAGTCACCATGTTGTTCTAAAAATTAAATGAGACAAAATAAAGCGCTGAGCACAGAGTCTAACATATAGTAACAGCTTAATAAGTAAATATATATCATCTAACATTGCTACCTGGGCCATCAAGTTGGAAGTCCAAGCGCCCGCAAGCTTGTTCTTGAGCTAAATGAGACAGTCTCAACCTAAGTAACCTCCCTACTGCCAGTTGGCGGTACCCCATAGCAGATGAGGCTTAATCCTGTGCAAGTGAGCGCAAATATCACGGCTTTGAAGAAAAATCAGAATGTCTCCTGCTGGCCTATGGAACCACAATGGGTTTGTTTATTTGTTTGTTTTTTAACCAAACACTGGAGTCTAAATAATGCTAGGTCCTTCCTGGGCTGCTCCATGACCCAGCAAGAATGAGATTTGGGATCAGTCTGCTTGTGACTAAAATTAGTATTCAGGTATTTCCCCAATAAATAGAGCAATGAGGTATAGGAATGTTTGAATGACCAGGCAGAACAAAGAGAAATTGGACCCTGCCCTGTAAATAAACAGTAAGCTTTGGGCTAGGGGGGTAGAACAGAAGCCTCTAAACAGTTGAAGAGACCAAATTGCACCCTCCACAGCACAAAGGCCAGGACCATTTCTTTCACGTACCTCTGCAGCTAGCCCTGTGGGGACAGGCGATTATAAAATATTACAGAGAAAGAAGAAATTAAGGAATATTTTCCTAGTAAGAATTTTACCTGCAGAAACTACTGAAGTCCTAACATTTATTCATTTATCCATTTGACAAACTATGAGCAAGAGTCTGGAATGCCAAAAAGAATAAAATTAGTTCCTGGTCCCCTGGCTGGTGTAGCTCAGTGGATTGAGCACAGACTGTGAACCAAGGGGTCGCCAGTTCGATTCCCAGTCAGGGCACATGCCTGGGTTGCAGGCCAGGTCCCTGGTACAAGGTTCACGAGAGGCAACCACCCATTGATGATCCTCTCCCTCTCTTTCTCCTTCTCTTCACCTCTCTCTAATAATGAATAAATAAAATCTTTTTTTAAAAAAATTAGTTCCTGGTATCAAGGAGTTCTCACTCTGGGAAAGAAAGGGGGAACAAATTAAAAACAGTTACGATCAATCAGGATAGGGAGGTCATCTCTCATAGTGGTCAAGAGCATGGACTCATATCAAACAGGCATGGGTTGGGATCTGACTTGGCCATATATTTGACCTTGAACGAGATCCTGAACATCTCTAAGGCCCAGTTTCTTCATTTGTGTGGCAGGCACTGGTAGTTTCCAACCCAATGTCCATTTCTCCTCTTATTCCTCACTAGCAGAACCCCAACTTTGTTCGTGGCGGAAATCTTCCTAGCTTTAAACAGAGGGAGGAAGCTCTCTCAGGCTCCTTGACAGTTAAGGGTGACCACATAACACAGCCCTGGCCATCAAGATGTAGATGGGGAATAACATCACTTCCCGATAATAAGACAAAACCACAAAAAGGAAAGGCTCTTTGCCCTTCACCCTTTGCCCTTTCACCTTTACCCTTCCTCCTGCTCAGAACACAGATGGAGGAACAGCATTCATTCACCTTGTCTCCACTGCAACGAAAGCTACATGCTGAGAAAGGTATTGTGCAGCCACCAGCTCTGGCCTCTCTACCTTTAATTTATTGTTATTTGAGCAAATTAAGTTCCATTTGGTTAAGCCACCATGGACAAGTTTTTACAAGCAGCCAAACTCAACTCTTAACTGAAACAATCTGTGAACAGAGGACAATAAATTATCTCTCCCCCCAGGGTTCTTTTGAGCATTCAATAATGCATGCACAGCACTTAGCATGGTATCTGGCTCTAGACACACTCGATAATGGTAACTTAGACCTTTTTACTACTATTATTACTCCTGTTATCCTTATTAATATAACCATTATGTGTGCCAAAAGCTATAGGAGCACATAGCTTCTATAGGAGCACATAACTGCCCCTGTCTGGGGAAGAGAAGACAAGCTACACTGAGAATGATGTGTTTGATCTGGGTCTTTAAAAACGAGGAGTTTCCCAGGATATCATTTCTACTAAAAAGTGAGCAGATTCTTGTGTGCCTGCAGGCGCTTACAGGGAGTTCGGCACTGTTCACAAGGAGAAAACTCTGACAGGCTACAGCCCTGGCCTTGGGGTCCCAGGACCAGAGTGGAGTTGGGACCAGCTGTGGTCCTCGTACTGAGACTGAGAAAGGTAAGTGGGTCCACCTAGCCACAGGGCTGTTGTGGGCCCACAGGAAAGAGAAGATCTTATGAAAGATCTGTTCAAACATCATTTTTTGTTAACCCAGTTACCTGAGCTCTGGTTACCTGACAGCCATCAGATAACCTGGTGATGTGCTCTCTCTATTTTATAAGCTCTTTTGGACCATGAATGCTTTCTTAGTCCCTTCCTTGATTTTTGTGTCCCTGGCAGCAAGCACAGAGCTTGACACAAAAGATGTGGCTATTCTAACAACCCTAGAAATATTCAAACACACAGTCTGAAACCTCACACTCCTGCTGGAAGAACAGATAAAGACCCAGAGCAGAGCAGATGACCTTAGCTTGCTGTCTTAACCATGAACTCTTCTAAATAAAGACAGAGTTCTCAGGGCCAGGCTCCTTCCCCAAAATTTATCATCTCTCCAATCAGAGAGAGAAAAGTAGATATAAATAGAAGACAGCACTTTCTACTCCAAAGCTTTCTTTTCCCAAAAAAGAAAGGCAGAGAATACCCTTGATAATTCATGGGCCAGAGGAAGTAGAAGGGACTCCTGGCATGTGGCTGGCGGATCCGGGAGCCAATACAAAGCCTAATGAGAATCTGAGTTCAGCAAAAGAGGAATGTGTGGTGTTTAAGCCTCATTAGTACTATAAAA